GTTGAAAATAAAAACAATTATTGTATCATGTGTTTAGTAGCATATCGTTAGTTTTCGATTCCGCAGGTAAGAACTACAACCTCCCGTCATTTTTCCGGATTTTCTCAAGGTAGATGCACCGGCCCCTTCCTTCTAGTTACCTACTTTACTGTTTTAGCAAGCCACTGCTTCATGGTATTTTAGCACCTGCATTGTATGGATGCAAACTTTCATCGCTGTGTAAGCCCAAACAAAGACCGGTTAGGCCAATCGCAGAAATTTGACCATGCGTACATAAATAACATATGCATACATAAAAAATATCTCCTGCATTTTTGGTTTAAAAACAAATTGCTCTTTTGCGGCAACACCGATGCGAATCACCTATATTCCTTCAGTACCCATATGCTTACAGATGGTGGCATTTTGGTAGATATCTGAACAGGCGTTTGTCCAGCTTTGCTCAGTGATGGGGTTTTCATCGATGCGATATAACTGCATGCAGCACTGTATATACAGTCGCTTTCAATTTTAAAATAATGGCAATGAGCTTAAAATGCTTTAAGAGCTTCTTCCACCGTTCGCCGCGTATTACATAACTAGTGTCAGTGTGAATATAATAGTTCGATAATTCATGGCGTCGATTTTCTGTCAGAAAAATGATCATCAATTGTGGGGAAACTGTGGTCGTCATTGTTACATGACCGATTACATGATGCTAATTTCGAAAGGAATCACGCTCGGGTCGGCTATAACAAGCGAAATTCTCTAGTAACTAATAAAGCAACTAAGAACTCATGTTACCCCAAACGAACTCTTTGAAGCCACTGCGGAAATGGGTGCTTAACGTCGAAGCATTTATGCCAAACATTAAAACATTATATGTAAATTTTTATTTGCCTAGACTAGTTGACGTTAGGAAGGAGCTGAAGGACTTGCCATTTTTAATGCACATGAAGATAAACATCAGAGCTTAATCCTCAATTATTTTCATAATTAACTGTCTTGTATCCAGAATCCATAATTATTTTTCCTTGTCAGGAGAAACATACAATACTCTAAGGAAATATACGAAACCGGGTTTTGACTACTCTTAATGGTCTTCTGCAGGCACAATGCTATCATGCATTATATTATCACGCTCAGAAGGGACATATGAGCATATAGGTGGATATTAATGCAGTAACATCGATCTCTATCAGCTGCCTCCGCGAACTACTGAAGTCAATAAGGAGATGGCACTACTGGTGACAAATTAGACTGAAATCTAAGTAAAGTGAAAAACTGAGTTTGCTTCCATCCAGCGAAAGACCTAATTACTACAAAAGGTCATGCAAGCACAATTTACCTGATCAGGTTTTTGACTGCAACATTTTTCACTTAGCCAAACAGCGATATCACGCTGTTAAAGACAACGAACGTATCCGAATCCACA